ACCAAAAAAAAAAAAAAAAAAAAATATCAGGTCTGCTATAAGGCTTCAAGAATCAATTATATTAATTCAGAACAATTCAGATCAATGAAGGCATATTTAAGGAAATGTAGATATGAGTTACATGGGATTAAGTATATTTGATAGCAAACTGTGTTTAAGCCACATAATCGAATCTCGCAATAGAACAACGATTAAACACAAGAAACCGAAGCAAAACCAACCAAACTACAGATCAAAATCGAAATGCTCCCCTCAGAGAGAATCAGAATCGCTTCACTCAGAGAGAATCGTAGTAATTAATATATACTATTTAATAAAAAAATTGAGTAAATAAGATAATGTAGTAAAATAGCACAATTAAAATTATTGCTTGTGGTGATAATTGAAATATATAATTTATCTAAAATTTTAAATTGGATATTAATTAATTCATTACATGTGTTGAAAAAAATTATATAAATAAATACATACATAAAAATAAAAAATGAAAATAAACAGTTTAGTATGGAAAAATTTGTTGCATAAGCGATTAAAGTTACTGCAATTTAAATTTAATTCTCAAACAATTAATATTTCATGCATCTAGAATTATAATACAGGAAAATAAATTTTATGGGTTAAACGATAGTTCACTATCGTTAAAATTGGTTATAAAATCAAGATAATCGGTATTTTATAAGTACGTGTAAGTAATTTGTATACAAACATCATATTTAAATTCTTAGATATTGATAATATTTTATAGACTTATAAATAGTAATTTGTTTATATTAAATAGTCAAAACTAAAATAAAAAAATAAAACAATATTCAAATAAACTTTAAATTATTAATGACTTGATATACAACATCGAATAAAATTATTATATTATCTTATCTTAAAATAATATAACAGTGTTTCAGTAATAAAATATTAATTTATATTATATCTCGTGCATTGCATGAGTACCGACGCTAGTATGGTAAAAGAATATAACTAAAATATTACTAGATATTTCTATTTAAGACATACTAAAATTAAAAAAAAAAATAAAAAATAAAAATAAATCTAGTATCTGTTATAAGAAAATCATCAATATTATGGAACCAAATTTATATTTTAGATACGTTTGTATCCGTGTTGAGCAAATTTGGTAATCCTATTTATTAGTGCATTAGGAGACATATTTGTAATAAATATTGGAAATCTGACTACTCAGAATATTTGCACAAGAAATCCGACAATTCGAAAAATTGTAATGGCCGAATTTTTATCGTCAATTTTCCGCCGGCCGCAGTCGTCTGCACCTCGTCAGCAAGAAAACCGACAACTCGAAATTTTAATGGCCAAAATTCGATCATGTATCTTCCGTCGGCGGCAGTCGTCTGCACGTCGTCACCGCCCTTGGTCGTGGGAAATTGAAGCAGAGGGCGAGGAGCAAGCCGGGGTTTGTGCCCAAAACAATCTCCTAATTTCTCTCCACGATGATCTTCTCTTCAAGATTCTCTTGAACCTCTCTGCCGAAGACATTTACAGGGCAAGTCTCGCCTGCCGGAGCCTGTACTACCGCACAATCCTCTCCGAGAAATTCGTAAACCTCCACTTCCGGCAAACTGAGGAATACGACCTCTTGTTCCGATTCAGTTATGCCCCCACACATGAGCTTATTGCGTTTTTGGTCTCTATGAAACAGGGCAGTGTCACAGTATCCGACTACAAATCCATATTCATTTTCGACACCAGTTGCAACGGTCTCATCCTCCAGCACAACTCCGTCATCCGTGTGGTCAACCCAGTCACAGGTCGATCTTTCCGACTCCCTCCGATCCCCAAAAATGCAATGTTAACGCGTTGTTGCTTGGGGTACTCGGAGGTCTCAAAGGCATACAAGGTGACCTTGGCATACATTGCCAGGAGAAGGGGCCCGAGGCGGGCCATATTGACCGTGGGTGTCGACAAGTCATGGAGGGATCTTGGGACCGTGATTGTCGACAAGTTATGGAGTTATCTTGGAACCGACCGTTTGATGGAGTTTGCCAATACCCTTGGCCGCCCATTGGTGACAGAGAGTTTTATTCATGGCCGCCCATTGGTGACAGAGGGTTTTATTCATTTTATTTATGGGGACACTGTCCTGACGCTGAATGTGGAGACGGAGGTTATTACCGAGACGCGGGTCCCACTACTATTCCCCGTTTATCCTCCCAAGTACATGAGGTGGTACTTGTCAACTGGGAAAGCCCTCACTCTAGTGGTTCGATTTGAGGATGGCCTGTTTCGAGTTTGGGAGATGGTCTTGTCGGGTAATTGTTATTATTGGAGGGAATGGGAACGTCAGATTGTGTTGGAAAGTCGATTACAGGAAGTTCGAGAGGTTTGTGGGGATAAATATAGGCCCGTCGGTTGGTTGCAGCAGATGGAGGTGTTGGTGTTTGAGGGTTTGTCCGAAAAATGGCGTTGCACTGTTATGTTCTACGTGGTTATTGCTACCGGGGAAATCGGATGGATCAGTACCCCTATATCAAAAGGGTTGGTTGGGAAATTTTATAGAATTTCTGATCGAGTTTTGCCTCACAAAAACACCCTTGTGCAGTTGGAGGGGTACCATTAAACCCATTTAGTGTCTAATTAGTATCATTTCTTGTTTATGTTGGTAGGATGGGACTTGTATTTAGTGTTTTTCTCTTTAAAGTGATGTCAATATTATATAATTCAAGAACAAAATAAATTTGATGACTGATAAACAACGTGACTAGCGATGTAATAATGTTCAGTTGGTCACTGTAGCTACAATAGGAAACAAGTTTTTCATAGATAAAAAATCTATGGAGATCATGCGTAGATTTAACAATCATCATCTTTGTTATAAAGTTCCGGGAAATGCTACGGTCCCGTTACGATATTATTCCGTCGGGGTTTGTAAGTTAACCGTCAGAGATATATAGTTGATCTAACTGTTACAAACCCGACGGAATGGTTCCGTAACAGGACCGACCGTACATAGCATCTTCAATCAGTTCATAGGTTCCCGTTGTAATATCAAACACACTTTGTGTAACATAACTAGTATGTTCCCGTGCGATGCATGAGACAGAGATATTAAATAAGTTATTTTCACAGTCTTGTCCGTTTAAGTCTAAAAAATAATAGGGTTATTATCTATTTTCTACCTTTTTTAATCAATGTTGCGTCTAAAAAACAATAGGATTATAAGTTTTTTTTCCACCTCCACTACAAAAAAACTTCTTACATTCCAACGGAAATTTTCCGTTGGAATTTTTTATATATCCGTTGGAATAGGTATTCCAACGGATATTCCTACGTATAAAAATTCGTAGGAAAAATGGCCGTTGGAATAACTAAAATCCAACGTAAAATCCTATGGAAATAAATTCCTACAGCTATTCTAATGGAAAAAATCCGTTGGAATTTCTCAACCATACAACACGTTTTCCAACATAAAATTAATTTTGTTGGAATATTCATTAGAATTTCCAACGAAAATTTTTCCGTTGGAATTGAAGTGTTTTCTTGTAGTGCTCTTTTAACCAGCGTTGTTTTTTTTTTAGGCAGAACATTAAATATGAGCATGTTAGGTCAACTTGTAAAATAATTAATATATTATTTCACTAAAACATTTATATTAATAAAAATTTAATTTTAACATATAAATTTATCACTTGATATAAGAGAAAGTAACAGTTTTACTTTTCTTGTTCACCATATAATATTTAATTATTATTATATTATCCAATAAAAAGGAATCATGTTAAATAGTGTTATAGAATTGTTACAAAATAATATGATTTTTTTTACAATATGAATTTAATATCTTTTTATGATTTGATAATGTAACAATAGTATATTCTTAATGATATAATAATATGAGATACGAATTTACATAATACTATGGATTTATTTCTTAATGTTAAGATATTAAATTAGGTAATGTATGATTCACTAATTTGTAATCTGTCTTTTTTCACATTGAAAATAATCATGTGATTGAGTAGAGATCACAATTATCTATAAACTCCTCATTTAAGGAATAATTTTTAAATTGGTCCAAATGTTCAATGCAACCCAATTTTCTTGTAACTAAAATGAGAAGAGATTTTGAATTTTAAATTTTCTCTTCAAAACGACACGTAAATTGAGATGCAGATTTTATTAATAATAAATTCAACAAAACCCGTAATTTTAGGGGCATTGCTAGCCTATTTTATTATTTAAAAAATCTAAAAACATTCTAAATATGGTGTGCAATTAATTATGAGTTGACTTTTCTTCCTACTAATTCTAGTAAATGAGATGACTTTTTATCAATGTTCTCAAAACCGGGCCGGTCATCGAACCCGTGAAGCTACTGGTTCAATGGTTCTATGGTCGGACCAGTGGTCGAACCGGTCCAACCGGTTTAACTAATATATAATTTATTTATATATTTTATATGTATAATATATAATTATATATATATATATTTATCATTAATTTTATATCATATAATGACATTTTTCTATATAAGAGTTGAAAAATCAATATTTTAAGTATAGTTTACCATAAACAATACTAAATAAAGTTCACTAAGACAATATTTTAAGTATAGTTTACCATGATCAATATTTTTTAATTTTTTTTATTTCATTAAGTTTTTTTTTTTTAATTTTCAGAACCGGTTCGACCGGTCTAACCGGTATCGGTTCACCGATTTTACCGGTTTTGAACCGGGTCGAACAGTTCGATACCGGTTCTTGCTCCCACCGGCCTAAACATGCAAACCGGACCGGTACTAGGTCCGGTTCCCGGTCCAACCGGTCGAACCGGCCGGTCCGGTCCGGTTTTGATAACAATGCTTTTTATATAAGTATAGATTCCCGAATGCGCTGAGCCTACGTGGCTGTTTCTGGTGCTTCAGAATCTTATTTGACGAAAAATCATGCTTCGTAATTAGGTTTGGACAAATAATATTGATATATTAAGAATTAATAATCTAGGTCCAGACATTCCATAAATATTATTTAGCTACCTTAGGTATTTTAATATGACTTGTACTAACATAACTCTTTGATTATTTATAATTTTACAAAGTGAGGCATTAAGTGACTAATATATCCCTAAATTTTGATTTGTTTACTACAATTAGCTATTGAATTGTAAACATATTTTAAAAGTTGATAACTTTTGTATTTCTTATCGGTTTTACATATATAATATATCAAATTTAATCACCTTTTGATGATCTTCGACTTGACATCCATATTGTATATATGAAATAAATAAATTATATTTATCTTTATAATAATAAAAATAATAATATTTACTAAAATTTATTAAAAAAATAAAATTATTTCTCAGTTGATATATTTATATTTAATGTAGTTATATGTTGTAAGTTAAAAAATTATTATAATATAACACAGGTAAGTCGCACAAATAAATGTGTCATACTAAATATATAATAATATATATATTTTTTAAAAAGTATTTAAATTTTCAACTACTTTTTTTCATTAATTTTATATTTTAAGAAAAAAATTAACAAGCACCCGTGTAATACACGGGCGCTGTACTAGTTAAAATATTATTTATAAATTTAATTGCCTTAACATGTATTAAAAAAAGGAATAATAAAGTAATTTTATGGTAATTTCAAAAATTAATTGGCAAGAACCAAACTTAGACGTGTGAACAGAAGGCACAAATTGAAGGAATCTTTTTTTTTTTTTGAAGGAATCCACCATTCAATCTAATTAGGTTAGTGTTGTATGCGTGTTGAGCAAATTTACTACTCCTATTAATTAGTTCATTATATAGGAAACATATTTGTAATAAATATTGGACATCTGAGTACTCAGCCAAGAATATTATACTTGCACAGCAAAACCAGCAATTCGAAATTGCAATGAAGAAATTTCCATCATCAATCTCCCGCCGGCCGCAGTCGTCGGCACTTCTTCACAGCTCTTCGTCGGATGAAGTTGAAGCAAAGGGTGACAAGCAAGCCGACATTTGTGCCCAAAACAATCTCCCTTCCCTTCCCGATGATGTGCTCTTCAAGATCCTGTTGAACCTCTCTGCTGAAGACATTTACAGGGCAAGTCTCGTCTGCCGGAGCCTTTACTACAGCACGATCCGCTCCGAGAAATTCGTAAACCTCCACCTCCAGCAAACTGACGAATATGGTCTCTTGTTCCGATTCAATTACGACCCAACACGTTGTGAGCTTATTACTAATGATCAACATTCTTCCCAACGAACGGTTTTGGTCTCTATGAAACAGGGACGTGTCAAGGTATTCAACTACAAATCCATATTTTCCTTCAACAGTAGCTGCAACGGTCTCATCAACGAGGACAAGTGGGACACCTTGTCCGAAATCCACGTGGTCAACCCTGTGACGGGACGAGCCTTGCGACTTCCTCCGCTCCCCAAAAACGCAAGCTTACCGCGTTGTTGCGTGGGGTATGCGCAAGCCTCCAAGGCTTACAAGGTGGCTTTGGCATACTCTCCTGGTGGAAAGGACGCGTGGCGGGCCATATTGACCGTGGGTGTCGATAGTTCGTGGAGGCATCTTGCAACCGACCATTTGACTAAGTATACCATGGGCCGCCTAATGGTCACGGAGGGTTTTGTTCATTTGGTTTTTGGGGACACTGTCCAGACGCTGAATGTGGAGACGGAGGTCATGACCGAGACGCGGCCCCCAGTCTCCGAGGGTTATTACATCAACTACACGCACTGGTACCTACCAGGTGGGAAAGTCCTCACTCTAGTGAATGAAGTTGAGGATGGCGTGTTTCGAGTTTGGGAGATGGTGTCGGGGGATTGTTGTTATTGGAGGGAATGGGAACATCAGATTGTGTTGGGAAAGCAATTGCAGGAAATTCGAGAGGTTTGTGGGGATGAATATAGGTTTATTATTTGCCCGGTCGGTTGGTTGCAACAGATGGAGGTGTTGGTGTTTAAAGGATGGCCCATAAACGAGCGTAGCGATGTTGTTTTCTATGTGGTTATTGCTACCGGGAAAATCGGATGGATCACACCCATATCGAGTAACAAGGAAGGATTGGTTGATGAATTTTATAAATTTTATGATCCAGTTGTGCCCCACAGAAACACCCTTGTGGAGTTGGAGGGGTATTATTAACATAGCATATGCACATTTCTTGTTTCTGTTATGTTGGTAGGATAAGATTGTTAAAACATTGTTTTTCATTTTTTTTAAAAAAAAAAGGAAAAAAAAAAAAAAACTGATGGGTCTTTTTTATTCTCTCAACACATACATACAATGGTGTTTGAATAGTTAGTTTACAGATTTGGAAGACGACTACAAGTTTGATTAACTATTAATTTACCGACTTGTAAGTTGCAGGCTTGTTTGTCTAAGATAATTAGAAAAATGCGCAGTTAAGCTAAATTGTGTCGTTATTAATTTAACAGACAGGAGGAAATTGGAGGGTATGTGAATTCGAGATTGGGTCGGGAGATCGGATGTGCGAAGTCGTAAAGAAGCACATATGAAGGTGTTTAGTGTTTGGCGTGTCGGGCCAAGTCCAACAAGGATGTTAAATTTGTTTTAAACGATAGAGGTTCGTTTTTTCATATTTGCATATTTTGGTATGTAGTATGTTGAAATATTTCATTGTGTCTGGATTTTACGAATATCGTCTTGCTTCAACTTGTGTATGGAGCATCGTCGTTGTCAATTCAATTTGCTTTCAAACGATATCTGGAGCATTATTGTACCTTTTCTGTGATCTTTACAGGGACGGCCATGACCGGTAAATACTAAAAATGTGGTCGCTTTACATTTTATAAGGCCACTAGCTTCTTGTATTGATGACCTTCTGGGTTTTGCTCTATAAATTTGTTCATTTTGTGCTTTCGCTAACTTGTACTGGTTCGTTATTACTATTTTTTCATTTGTTTGGTTGATGTTATTGATGGCCAAGTTCTGGTAGTTGACTGATGCCATTTGGAATGTAGCTAGTTTCAATGGTAGTTTATGGTGATCACTGTAAATTGCTGATTTTATTGGGATATTTCACTTGATTTATGACAATCACTGTAATTTTTCTTTTTTCTTTGGCGAATTTTGTTGCACAAAAATTGACTGTCTCATTTATAACTGATAAGTAGTCGACCTAGTTCTTAGCTATAAGGCATATACATGTCGACCTCTTTCAGATGGATGGAAGGTGATGTAGGTAAATGGGAATGATAAATCAGTAAACGAGATACTCACTCGTAAAACACGCAAAACTTACAATACCTAATCTTATCTCATTTCAATAATCAACTGAATAATGCAAAAGATGAGGATTCCTTTAAATAAGGCTCCTAAAACCTAATACTAACTTGTCTAACAAGACAAGAATCCTAACAAAGTAATAAATAAATAAGTTTTACAAATCTATAATAATAATAATAATAATAATAATAATAATAATAATAATAATAATAATAAAGAAAGAAACAAATAGTTAGATTAAGATTCTAAACATCCTTATCTTCATCAAAAAGTCATCTTTGCTGATCTCATCGAATTCGAGCTTGATTCTAAACCAGTGTGAAAAGAGTTACCGACCTAAGCCAGTTCTCACCGCTCAAAAAGATAAATCATTTGCTTAAGTTGTCGAATACATGTCATGATATAACCAAATTAGAAGCCACCACGTGTCCTGAAGAAAAAATATTTTAAAAACCTCCAGGGTCCAGAGGCCTTGAACCTCATCAAAAAAATACATAAGATATTTGATAAAAGCTCAGTATACATGATACATCCAATTATAGTCTTTCTTGCTCTTTAAGCTTTCCCTTTACATTTTTGTTCTTCCAACCTTCCAAAGGCTCTGGATAGAAAAGAGGTCCGAGAACGGCACATCCTTTTAATAAATACTCGCAAGAGACTTAATTCGTCTACAACTACAAGCCATATATTCTTCTTTCTTTTCGCTGAACCCCCGTTAAAATCCACCCTAAAAACATTAAATACACCGCATAACTACAAGGCCATCGTCTCAGTGGCCCCGTTATCGCAAACACAAGTCAACAATTCAATTTAGGAATAAATATAATATATATATGATTATATAAAAATAAAATAAGAGCTTTTTAAACTATTTACAAATGGGTATTTTTTAGTTTTATTTTCATATAAGTATTTAATACATATATTTAAAATATGAATAATAAATAAAAATGAAATTATTTTTAATAATTTATTCAAAATTTATTTTTAAAATAATTTTATATAATATAATTTGATCCTGATATATGATATATATTCAATATTTATTTATTTTTATTGCTATTTGTTATTTATTTTTATTTTTTATTTTTTATTTTTTATTTTTGAAAAAATTGAATAATGAAGATATGGGAATGAGAAAGTCGTGCATTAACTATGAAATAGCTAATACCATGGAGATTGTTTGTCATTTCATTGAAATGGTCATTTCTTTCTAAACAATATCAGTGTTCTAAAAGTCGCTAGGCGCCCGTTAGGCGCTCGACCAGTGCCTAGCGCCTAGGCGGGACCTAGAAATCAATATTAAATACCTTATTTTTTATTTATTTTAACTACCTACAAAATAAAATTATCTCGACTTATAATAACTCGACACACCTAAATCCAAATAATAAAATTAATATATTTTAAAGAAAATATGAGACCAAAATAATGTAGTATTTAAAAAATGAAAAAATGCAAAATTGTAGCCGAGCCCGCCTAGGAGCGCCTAGGTCCGCCTATGCCCGCCTAGGCGCCGCCGAGCCCGCCAAGTCCGCCTAGAAGCCCTAGTCTGCCTAGCGCCTAGGTGCTGCTTAGGCTGATTTTTAGAACAACGAACAATTTTAGAACAGTGAACAATATATCATGTGATAGAAATGATAAAAGAGAATAATTATTCCATCTCATGTCATTTCATCATACTAATCATATCATTAGTGTACTTTGGAACATATTTGTAATAAAAATTGAGTATGAGCATCTAAATACTCGCGGTATTAATCAAATGAGCAATCTATTAATATATAATAAGGATTAACATAATTCATTTTTAGAAATAATTTCCCGCCAATTTCATTAATTATTGCCTAAAAATAGTAAATTAACAAAATCTCTATTTATTAACATACTTTTTTTATCTAATTTTTTTTAGGATTAAAATAGCATATATAGAATCAAAATCAAAATAAATCTAGGAAATACACTTACCACACTTAATACATTTAATTTAAGAAATACACTTACCGTACGTATTTTTAGAAATTTTTAAAATACAATAAAAAAAATTTAATAAATAATTTTCAATTAAAGCTTCTTTTTAAGAATCAATCATATTTCTAATAATTGTTAGAAATAATTTTTATATATATATATATATATATATATATATTAGTATTTACGTGAAAGTAACATATATGTTACTTATATGTTAACAAATATGTTAACATTAATGTTAATCCTATATAATAAGGATTAACATAAATCAAATTTAGAAACAATTTCCCGGCACTTTCATTAATTATCTCCTAAAAATAGTAAATCAGACTTTTTTTCCTTTTTTTATTAATAACATCAAATACTTTTATATTGGTAAACAATAAGAAATCAAAATCTGAATAAATCTTCTATTTTTCCAAACAATTTGGAAATCCGAATGTAAATCAGAATAAATCATGATCTTAGAAATCGTGATTTTCAAACAATTTGAAAATCCAAGTAAATCTCCAAGGAAAATCATGATTTGTATATATCATGATTTTAGAAATCTGTTCAAAATTTTCTTTGCATGAATCTGAATCATAATTCATTCAGTATATTATTATATTATTAAATTATTTGAAACTGCATGCTAAGATTTGTATATATATCAGATTTCTAAAATCATGATTTGTATATATCATCTTTTCACCAATTAGACTTTTTTCTTCATTATCGATATGAAAAGGAAAACGAATTTTATATACCTTATCGGTTTTAATAATACAATGTTATAATCATTATCATTATTTATTTTAAAAGACAGTGTTTGTCATTTATTTGATTTCAAAAGATGGAAAAAATTTCATAGTTTAGGTCTCTTTTTATTTATGCATTTACACAAATTAATTTAAAAACTCTAATAACGATCGGCAACAAAATTTGTTATATATTGATTCAAACCAACTAATTAATAAAAGAGTCCATCAATCAAGAAAATAAAAAATAACACACGATCACTACATTTCAAAGATTAAGTTACTTAGATAAATATTCATTTATATTGTCATAACGATAAACAAGAGTGAGTGTCAATATTAGAAATTTGATGTTTCAACTGCTATATTTCCAATGGTTTTTTTACCTTAGAAATTTTTATTTAAATATGCAAATTTCGTTGAAATTTTTATTTCTACCCCGTTGAAAAATCCACCGTTAGAATCGTCAAAATCCAACGGAAATTCCAATGGAAAATTCATTCCAACTAAATATATGGATCATCAACAGATTGGTGACAGATGGAGTTCCGTCAAGGTCAACATTTATTGTACGTTGACATGTTAAGTAATAGATCAAGAAAAGTCAATGTTAGCATTTATTGTACGTTGACATGTTGTTAAAGAAATTGATTTTTAGTCACGGACAATTATGTTGTTTGTCTCGCGTGTAAATAATAGAAAAGTGTTGAAAATATTAGTTTGTGGGGACGACGAGTTGCTCAGTTATTAAACAGATAATGTTGTGTACAAGAAAGTTTAAATAATATATTTTTTTGCATGAGAAACATTTTATGGTTCGATAATTTTCCTACGAATTATCACTCTTTTATTTATTAGTGCATTTTAAATTTTAATATTCTCCAAAATAAATACAGTCTGTGCATCGCACGGGTTACATACTAGTATAAAAATATATGGACTATGCAACCCCTATATAAAATATATTAAAATCATTGGTTTATGTCATATTAATAATCTAAATATTTTTTATACTATAAGATGATTTGTAGTTTTAATTTTTATTTAATATTATTAATCAATTTGAAATATTTAAATATTATTTATAGATCTAGTTGCCGAAACTGATATCAACATATAATATAAGGAACAATAAAGTATTTTATGGTAATTTTCAAATTTAATTGCCGAGATCCTTTTTTTTTTCCTTAAGCAGACGGATACTTAGAGAGAGAGAGAGAAAAGAGAGGCGAAAGATTTCAAGAGAGGCAAGTCCTTATGGTCCAACCCGGCTCAGTTCTGGATTAGTCGGTTCCTCTGTAGATCCGGAAAAGTTGTAAAAAAAAAAAAGTTTGTTTACTCTGTGGTATGAGAAAAAAAGTAAAGGCCGCAAATTTGGTACTCCTATTTATTAGTGCATTTAGGAAACCTATCTCTGATAAAAAAAATTGGACATCTAAATATTCGGCAAGAATATCTTTACAACAATACAGACAATACGAAATTGTAATGGCCAAATTTCCATCGTCAATCTTCCGCCTGCCGCCGCCGTCGTCTCCACCTTCGTCCGGCGAAGCTTCTGAAGCAGAGGGCATTGCAGACGGCAAAAAGCTTTGTGCCCAAAACATTCTCCTAATTTCCCTTCCCGATGATCTGCTCCTGAAGATCCTGTTGAACCTCTCTGCTCAAGACATTTATTACGCGGCAAGTCGTGTCTGCCGGAGGCTATACTACCGCACGATCCGATCCGAGGAATTCATAAACCTCCACCTCCGGCAGCAAACTGAGGATTACGGCCTCTTGTTCGGATTCACTAATAATGATCAACATTACTCCCAACGCACGGTTTTTGTGTCTATGAAACAAGGACGTGTCACGGTATCCGACTTCTACTACGCTTCCAAATCGAGATTTATATTTAACAGTAGCTGCAATGGCCTCATCCCTGAGTTTGATTTTTGGAAACCCCATTCTGGCGTCTACTTGGCCAACCCTGTGACGGGACAAGCCTTAGGACTCCCTCCGCTCCCGAAAAATGCAAAGTTCATGTGTTGTTGCTTGGGGTATGCGGAGGCCTCAAAGGCGTACAAGGTGGCCTTGGTATACAGTGATATTGATAGTGGAAGGGCCATGCGGTGGGCCATATTGACCGTGGGTGTCGATAGTTGGTGGAGGCATCTTCCAACCCACCACTATTCGACGGGCTCTACCCTCAGCCAACTGTTGGTGACGGAGGGTTTTATTCATTTTATTTCTGGGGACATTGTCCGGACGCTGAATGTGGAGACAGAGGTTATGACCGAGACGCTGGCCCCATTCCCCGTGTATCCTCCCAACGGGTGGTACCTGTCAACGGGGAAGTCCCTCACTCTAGTGGTTAATGTTGAGGATGGCGTGTTTCGAGTTTGGGAGATGGTGTCTGGGGATAATTGCTATTATTGGAGGAAATGGCAACATCAGATTGTGTTGGGAAGTGAAATTCAAGACAATAAAGATTTGATTGGTACTTGGCCGGTCGGTTGGTTGCAGCAGATGGAGGTGTTGGTGTTTAAAGTAAGGTCCAAAAACTGGTATTGCCATGTTTTCTACGTGGTTATTGCTACCGGGGAAATCGGATGGATCACACCCATACATAGTTATGAAATTTATGATCCTGTGCCCCATAGAAACACCCTTGTGGAGTTGGAGGGGGTATTCTTAAACCCATCCACCATCTAAACTGAATTTGCTTTTAAACAATATATCTTGAGCATTGTTGTACCTCTTCTTGAGATTTTTCTTTTATCGGTTATCTTTAAAGGTGCGGTCGTGGCCTGGCCGGTGAATACGGAAGATATGGTCGCTTTATATTTTATAAGACAGTACTAGCTTCTTGTCTTGATGACCTTCTGGGTTTTGCTCTATAAATTTGTCCGTTTTGTGCTTTCGCTAACTTATACTGCTTCGTTTTACTATTTTATATTTGTTTGGTTGATGCTATTGATGGCCAAGTTATGGTAGATGATTGATGCCTCTTGGAATTTAGCTAATTTCACTTTAATTTATGAAAATCGCGATAAAATTACTGATTTTGTTGGGATATTTAGCTGTAATTTATGGCAAGCATTGTAAAAAAATAAATAAATAAATAAATAAATAAATAAATAATTGGGCGAATTTTATTGTACAAAAATTGACTGTCTCGTTTACCAAGTGATAAACCCAACCTGGTTCCCAACTCAACCCAATTTAATAATTAAAAATTATTTTTTTTTCCTCCACGTACATAACTCAATCTTTCAACATAATTATCTTTATCTCGAACCCAATTCAACATAAATATTTATTTTATTTTAATTTATTTAATAATGCAACTGTGTTCTAAAATAAATCAAGTGTGATATTTATTTGTAGAGAATGAATAAATATGAATTTTGATATTTTCTTTATTTTTTTTAGAAACAAAAAAAAATACACTTGTCCAATAAAAATGAGACAAGTGTCCAATTCTTCCCCAATATACAGGTCACGACCCGAGGTCACAATCGCTCAACTTTGTGACCTTTTTTTTTTAATTTTATTTTTATTCCCGTGACCCACTCATTCGGTCACAAATAAAAGTAGTCTAAAGCATACACATGCTGACCTCTTTTAGAAGGAAGGTCATCCTTACACGATCTCATCTCGTCCGAGCTTGATTCTAAGCCAGTGTGAAAATGGTCACTGCCCTAAACCAGTTCCCACCACCCAAAAAGATAAGTCACTTACTCAGGTTGTCAGATACAAGTCACGATGCATCCAATCAGAAGCCACCACGTGGCCTGAAGAAATAATATTAAAGACCTCTCCTTCTATAAAAGGAGGGGCTGGACCGGAGGCATTGAACATCATCAAAACAATACATCAGAAATTACATAAAAAAAGTCAGTGAGCGGCCCATCCTTTTAATAAATAATCGCTGGTGCAGG